CCAGAGGCCAGCACACTATCAGCAGATGTCAAGGGTAATTGGTTTTCAACTGTTGCACTCAGCACTCCATCACATCCCACACATTTTGAAGATTAACCGCCTTCATCTCAGGTGTGGAGAACTGGGCTTCCTAACTTCCATTAATATCTTGGGTGATTAACCCTATCCTGTTTCTTACCCCATAAGATGCCTTATATTATAATTATATTCTTAACATGATTAAAAATGTATACCTTAGATTGCACACTCCTTGAGGGTTAGGATCTGATGTGAATGTAATATATATATATATATATATATATATATATATATATATATATATATATATATATATATATATATATATATATATATATATATATAAATAAATAAATATATATATATATATATATATATAAAAAAAATAATATATATATATATATATATATATATATATAAATATATATATATTATATATATATATATATATATATATAATATAAATATATATATATATATATATATATATAAATATATATATATATATATATATATATATATATATAAATATATATATATATATAATATATATATATATATATATATAAAAAATATATATAAATATATATAAATATATATATATATATATATAAATATATATATATATATATATATATATATATAAAATAAATATATATATATATATATATATGTAAAGTGCTGTGTAAAATTGACGGCGCAATATAAGTACCTGTAATAAATAAAAAAATGTATACATTTATGCATTAATAACTCCGATTAAAGCTGTTTTCTTTCTCCTAGTCCATCAATAAAGGATTAAACGGGGCGACTGACCATTCGAGCACTCGGGCACTGCCCGAGGGCCCGGGATCAGTAGGGGGCCCCATAAAATGCCCCTGGTATCTTTTATAGGCTTTTTTGGGTGTGTTTTGAGTGTGGGCAAGGACACAGGGGCCCCATGATCCCCAATTGCCCGGGGGCCCCATGAGTTGTCAGTCCGCCCCTGGGATTAAACTAAAATAATGAAATAAATAAATTGTGAACAGCAGTTTACACTAAAAAACCATTATTAATCCTTTAGGGTACAGGGTTTCTAATAAATACACTGTACATCTATTCGCCCTCTGTTTAGAACAGTGGTTCTCAACCTTCATAATGCAGCGACCCTTTAATACAGTTCCTCATGTTGTGGCGGCCCCCAACCATAAAATTATTTACCCAGTAATTATAATTCATGAAGTGTCGTTTTACCTCCAATACTGCTGCTTTCAACACAGTAGCTACTTTCAACACAGTAGCTGCTTTCAACACAGTAGCTGCTTTCTACACAGTAGCTGCTCTTTACACATTGGAAATATGTGTTTTCCGATGGTCTTAGGTGACCCCTGTGAAAGGGTCGTTCGACCCCCAAAGGGGTCGCAACCCACAGGTTGAGAACCACTGGTTTAGAAGGTTAATTATGTCACTTCTCCATTTACCCTGGACTTGTTGGATTGCTGCAAAATTTAAAGGAGTTGGATCTTTGTTATGGCATTTCTTACAATGTTTTGAACACACTGTGGTTATTTTTTACCATTAATGATATTGCAGATAAGTTCCTCTACCCTGATAGGGTCAATTTTATCCTTCAGATATATTGTAATCTATAAGTACAACCCATAGGATAACTAACTTTACAGAAGTTGAACGTTAGAAAACTATTCAATTCTATATGTTTTCCCTGTCACCATTTTCCCTAGTGTTTTTACACTCAAGTTTTTTTTTTTTCCCAAAAATCCAACTTTTTACTAATATATCCTTAAGTGTAAGGTTTCTTTTAAACACAATCTTTGGTTTTGGTGGCAATATAACTTTTAAAACTGGATCCCTCTTTAACAGTGGCCAGTTCTTTCTTTTGATTTTAGTAACTTTCCCACTATCCTCCCCATATGGCAGGACACACTACTTTCCATAGAAGGTTATTTGGGTAAGACAAATAGTGTATCAAGCAAAAAGTATTAAGCCTGCCTTAGATGGAACAAAATTCAGCCAGTTCAAAGGAACCAGATGAATTTTGATCCATCTATGGGCAGGCTGGTTGTACTGAAATCAATCTATAGCAACCAGCAGTGATCATTGTATTCTGTCAATGGGGAAAGCCTGCGGTTTAGAAAAACAAACTTGCATAATCTGCATAAAATTGCATAATAATGCCCAGCCTTGGGACTCTTATTGATCACGCACTCAAAAGGTGAAACAATCAGATTCTCAATAAAGGGTAATGGAATGAAAGTACCCAAGTCAACCTCCTTAAATCATTTGGCATTAACTACTTCCAGGGAGAGAAAAGCCAAATTCAATTTGTTGACTGTTGGGAACAGAATTGAACAAAGTCAGCATGGAATCACAAAGCCCTACAAAAACCCTTCTTGAACAAACTGCCCCACAATCTAATTATCTATTTAGAAAAGGACAAATATTTTCAACCCTCACTGGTACTTTTTTTTACTCACTGGAATGTCCCTGCAGCCAGAGCATCCATGCCTCAAGAAACACGACTTCTCAAACTTGCATGGTCCCTTTTTCAACTTCCAGCAGTACCTTCTTTTTCAAGCCAGTTGTTCAGAGGCAGAGGCACCCCTGGCCACTCCTGAAAATAACTGGTTCCCCAACTGTGCAGAAGTCCTAGGCTTCATCCACAGACTGATGTCAAGTGCAAATATGACTGAAGTGCTTTGTTTGGGCAGAATTGTTCTTCATAGCAGAGGCAAGCAATTCTACTATAAACCTAACATACCTCTAATGGCATCCAAATTACAAAGAAAGCCTTGAAAAGTGCTCCAGAATAAACTAGGATTCACCAGACTGCCTCATATACACTAATCCATAAATGCTGTGCCCAGCTCCAACATCACATGCTGCTCTGCTGACCTTGCCTTAATCTCTGACCTCTTTCTCTGACTGGTCTGATGCTGTGCTGGTTCTGGGCCTGGCAGATCCCTTCCTTCTTCAGTGGTTGCTGTCAGTCCTGGCCACTGGACATGAGGTCCTCCTTCCTCTGTCATCATCCGGTTTGCTCTCTCCATGGAAACCAGGCCCATCTCTCTCTTTGTTACTCTGGGCTCCCTAAGCCTAGGCCTACAGGGGTGACATGCCAGTCCTCCCAAAAGCTGAAAACTCAGCCACACCACTGTTGAGGGGGAAATGAAAAGGGACATTGGTCAGATCAACTCCTGACAACTGTCTACTGTCACTTAGTAGGGCCTTAGTGGCAGGCACAACATCAATTTCTTCTGTCTCCAGGATGAATGGGCAGGGGGAGATACATGTTTTGAGACAGATCAGAGTTTTTGTTGGATCATGAGTGGAGCTCCCAGAGTGGTGCTGAACCCTGGGTAGCCACGTCAGGGCTAAATCTAAACCTTTAGAGCATGAGTGGAGGCAATGGTAGGTGAAGTTAGAATATATTGCTTGACCCCTTGCAACAGTTTACTAACCTAAATGTTTAACCAATCCGTATGCAGCAGGAGCCTTCTGCTTCACCAATATTCCCTGCAGGTTGCTCATATCTGTTGTCTTTTTTCAGGTCAGAAGAAAGACTCATGACCCCCCAGTTTACAACACCAGAGCTGAAACCTAAGTTTGCGCAATTCCATCTTTCTTCTGACTGAAGACTGATTGATTCCTCCTTTGAACCATCACCTGAAACCCCTACTGCTATCTTTCATCTCCACCAGTCCAGTAAGTACTTCCCAAATGGTTTAACCCTTCAGTTTCACCTATGCTTCAAGTGTTTTTTTTTTTTTTTCTTTGCTCAAGGCCTTTCCTTCTTCTTTTTATGCAACTGGCAATACATGTACTGTATATTATTGAAACCAAATGGTATCTGGTGCTACTCATAGCAATAACTTTTGATAGCCTTGAACAACAAAGCCATGCCCACTTTATAGTCATATAGTGCAGATATGCTTTAGGCATATACAGAAACAAGGAAAAATATAAAGGCAACAGATGGCCTATTGCCTTGCATTGATTGTGCACAAAACATAGAATTCATCCTTATACACAACTTCAATTGTGATAAAGATTCTATTTATTCTTTTAAAATATTGCAATGGAGTTCTTGATAGAACAACTTTGCAGTTTTTTTTTTATTCTACGATAAATAGACAGGACATGTGTTTTCCCAGGCAGACATTGAAAAAACACCAATGAATGCAGTTATACATTTATTAAAATCATTAGATGCATTTAAATGCATCTAGAATAAATACCTAAATTCTCCTTTCTGCCTTTTGTAACCCCCTGTACAGCAGCACTCAGACTGGAAGAGAGGAACAAACAACCAGGGGTTCTGCATTCTTATTTGCTAACATGGAACATGTTGATAGAAGAAGAAAGCAGAGACATTATCTCAACAGTCTGATGCAGCTCTCTTACTGTTCAATCACAGTTTGGGCGGTAACTTAGGTCAGTTGCCTAACTGCATCTGAGAAAATTAGGTCACCAAGCTGTGTGGTGCATCTGTGTACTGAAAAACCTCTGGCATGCATGAATATATTCAAATCCTTTGACAGGTAAGACAGTACCAAAATATATAACTCCCACATAACAGTCCCAAGGGCAGCCACAATATTCTGTGTGTGAAGTAAATTGCCCAGGTGCTCAGCCATAAAGAAATATCCATATAAATCCAAAACGAGTATATAGGCACTCACAGGTTTTGCAACAGAATTTATTGTTAATTAGACATGTGCGATTTTTTATGAATTTAAATCTGGACAAAATTTTCATTATTTGGAGATTCGGATGTATACGAATCTCTGAATCACAATAGTAACACATTTCAACAAATCCAAAATAAATTTTAATTAAAACAACAAATTAATTTGTAATATTTGTTTGCAACTTCAACGGGTCTAATAAGTTCATTAAAATGTGTCACACTCTATATTTTTAAGATTGGCTAAAGCCAAGCAAAACATCAAAGTTGCAAGCAAGTCGCATCAAAGTCACAAGCATATTAGTGCTGAACACTGTACCTTTAATTTAAATGCCCTTGGAGTCTGCTGGGGAAGAGAAATAATACTGTCAGGCAGTATGACATGCAGATGAGTGCCGTCGATCTTAGAATCACCGCACACTTCACTCATTTGGGCAGTCACGGGGCCAAAACCAGAGTGTGGAGCCACAGTGTGGCGGTGGAGGCAGCAGCAATGGGAGGCCATACAGCACCCTATGACAAAAATGGAAACCACCAGCAGTGTGAGGAGACCTGAAAGTGGCACATGGCAGAGTGTGGCGATAGAGACAGCAGCAATGGGAGGCCGTACAGGGACCCATGACACACTCTGGACCTGGCAGCAGCATGAGGAGGCGGTACAGGGGCCCATGGCAGATTACGGGCCTGGCAGCAGCATGAGGAGTCGGTACGGGGGCCCATGGCAGATTACAGGCCTGGCAGCAGCAATGGGAGGCCGTACAGGGACCCATGACACAATCTGGACCTGGCAGCAGCATGGGGAGGCGGGTACAGGGGCCCATGACAGATTACGGGCCTGGCAGCAGCATTTGGAGTCGGTACGGGGGCCCATGACACACTCTGGACCTGGCAGCAGCATGAGGAGGCGGTACAGGGGCGCATGACAGATTACGAGCCTGGCAGCAGCAACTTGGACAGGAGGACGTTCAGTTTCTGCACCGTCTGGTGCGTGCTCGCAAACTGTTGTCTCTTGGAAACGGATTCCAAGAAAGACTGCTGACGGAATCCGTGAAGAGGAGTAGCAGGAGAAGGAGCATCTGAACGAGCGGAATATGCCAACAAGCGACAACAGGGGCCCATGGCAGATTACGGGGCCTGGCAGCAGCATGAGGAGTCGGTACGGGGGCCCATGGCAGATTAGGGGCCTGGCAGCAGCTATGGGAGGCCCGTAATCTGCCAGCACCCTATGACAAAAAATGGAACCCACCAGCAGTGTGAGGAGACCTGAAAGTGGCACATGGCAGAGTGTGGCGATGGAGACAGCAGCAATGGGAGGCCGTACAGGGACCCATGACAGACTCTGGACCTGGCAGCAGCATGAGGAGGCGGTATATAGGGGCCTATGGCAGATTAGGGGCCTGGCAGCAGCTATGGGAGGCCCGTAATCTGCCAGCACCCTATGTCAAAAAATTTCTACACACCAGCAGTGTGTGAGACCTGAAAGTGGCACATGGCAGAGTGTGGCGATGGAGACAGCAGCAATGGGAGGCCGTACAGGGACCCATGAGAGACTCTGGACTTGGCAGCAGCATGAGGAGGCGGTATAGGGGCCCATGGCAGATTAGGGGCCTGGCAGCAGCAGCTATGGGAGGCCCGTAATCTGCCAGCACCCTATGACAAAAAATGGAACACACCAGCAGTGTGAGGAGACCTGAAAGTGGCACATGTTTGGGGCATGATTCATGGCGGATTTAGTCAGTTGTGTCAGGAACTGGTGGTTTGAAATCCAGACTAATCCACGCCTGATTCATTTTCACAAACGTCAGTCTCTCCACACTTTGGGTGGACAGTCGTGTCCTCCGCGGAGTTGCAATACCTCCTGCCGCACTAAACACGCGCTCCGATGCCACGCTACTGGCCGGGCATGACAGCCTTTCAAGGGCAAATTCAGCTAGTTGGGGCCAAAGGTCAAGTTTCGTTGCCCAGTAGTCAAGGGGATTGTCTACCTCGGTTGGCAGGGTGCTGTCCAAGTAGGCCTAAGCCTGTTGTTTGAGGTCCTGCTCCAGGTCCACCTGATGCTGCTGCTGCTGCTGCTGCTGCTGCTGCTGGGCTGGTTAGTAGTTTCCTCACTGCGCTGGTGAAGAAAGCTACTCATCATCGACTGCAGACTGAGGCAGCCGCTGCTGGTGGAGCTGCCACTGCTCCTACCACCCCACCCCTCCCCTGCTGCCATGGCAGCGGAACGCGAGCGCACAGGGCCCACAGTGTCTGAGGATGGACGTTGGCGCAGACAGGCAGAGACCAGCTGACTACATAGGTGGTTTTTATAGTACGTTATTTTGGCCTCCCTCTCAGCAGGTGTGAAAAAGGCCACCATTTTTGAACGGTAGCGAGGGTCCAACAAGGTGGACAGCCAAAAGTCATCCCTCTGTCTGATGGTTATTATTCGGCTGTCGCTACGCAAGCAAGCGAGCATGCTATGGGCCATTTGTGCCAAGGAATGCGAGGGACTCCCTGCCTCCATCTCCACAGCATACTGCCACGGTGCGTCTGGGTCCTCTGTCTCCTCCTCCTCCTCCTCCTCTACCAGATGCTCCTGCTCCTCCACTCCTGTCCGCTGAGTGGAAAAAAACCCCCATTTCACTCAATAATTCCTGAGCACCAATGTCCTCCTCTACCTCCTCCTCTTCTTCTTCCTGTCCTGCCCCCACAGGGGTCATGTGGCATGTGGCGTTGAGATCTGTGCGCCACGTCTACCGCACCCTGACCAGCCATTGTTAACAGCATTTGTTCCAGGACGTGCAACAGAGGAATGACGTCGTTCATCCCATAGTCCTGCCGACTCACGAATAGCGTGGCCTCCTCAAAGGGCCTGAGCAAGCGCAGGTGTCACGCATGAGCTGCCAATGGCTGACATCTAAGTTACACAGGGAGTACCTTTATCCGCTTTTAACATCAGGAAATCGGGATGTGATGGCCTTTTGCTGTTCGTAAAGGCGGTCTAACATATGTAGGGTTGAATTTTCCACCTTGTTGCAACGTCACAGCATGAGGAGTCGGTATAGGGGCCCATGGCAGATTAGGGGCCTGGCAGCAGCTATGGGAGGCCCGTAATCTGCCAGCACCCTATGTCAAAAAATTCAACACACCAGCAGTGTGTGAGGAGACCTGAAAGTGGCACATGGCAGAGTGTGGCGATGGAGACAGCAGCAATGGGAGGCCGTACAGGGACCCATGACAGACTCTGGACCTGGCAGCAGCATGAGGAGGCGGTATATAGGGGCCTATGGCAGATTAGGGGCCTGGCAGCAGCTATGGGAGGCCCGTAATCTGCCAGCACCCTATGTCAAAAAATTCTACACACCAGCAGTGTGTGAGGAGACCTGAAAGTGGCACATGGCAGAGTGTGGCGATGGAGACAGCAGCAATGGGAGGCCGTACAGGGACCCATGAGAGACTCTGGACCTGGCAGCAGCATGAGGAGGCGGGTATATAGGGGCCTGGCAGATTAGGGGGCCTGGCAGCAGCTATGGGAGGCCCGTAATCTGCCAGCACCCTATGTCAAAAAATTCTACACACCAGCAGTGTGTGAGGAGACCTGAAAGTGGCACATGGCAGAGTGTGGCGATGGAGACAGCAGCAATGGGAGGCCGTACAGGGACCCATGAGAGACTCTGGACCTGGCAGCAGCATGAGGAGGCGGTATATAGGGGCCCATGGCAGATTAGGGGCCTGGCAGCAGCTATGGAGGCCCGTAATCTGCCAGCACCCTATGTCAAAAAATTCTACACACACAGCAGTGTGTGAGGAGACCTGAAAGTGGCACATGGCAGAGTGTGGCGATGGAGACAGCAGCAATGGGAGGCCGTACAGGGACCCATGAGAGACTCTGGACCTGGCAGCAGCATGAGGAGGCGGTATATAGGGGCCCATGGCAGATTAGGGGCCTGGCAGCAGCTATGGGAGGCCCGTAATCTGCCAGCACCCTATGTCAAAAAAAAAAATCTACACACCAGCAGTGTGTGAGGAGACCTGAAAGTGGCACATGGCAGAGTGTGGCGATGGAGACAGCAGCAATGGGAGGCCGTACAGGGACCCATGACAGACTCTGGACCTGGCAGCAGCATGAGGAGGCGGTATATAGGGGCCTATGGCAGATTAGGGGCCTGGCAGCAGCAGCTATGGGAGGCCCATAATCTGCCAGCACCCTATGTCAAAAAATTCTACACACCAGCAGTGTGTGAGGAGACCTGAAAGTGGCACATGGCAGAGTGTGGCGATGGAGACAGCAGCAATGGGAGGCCGTACAGGGACCCATGACAGACTCTGGACCTGGCAGCAGCATGAGGAGGCGGTATATAGGGGCCTATGGCAGATTAGGGGCCTGGCAGCAGCTATGGGAGGCCCGTAATCTGCCAGCACCCTATGTCAAAAAATTCTACACACCAGCAGTGTGTGAGGAGACCTGAAAGTGGCACATGGCAGAGTGTGGCGATGGAGACAGCAGCAATGGGAGGCCGTACAGGGACCCATGAGAGACTCTGGACCTGGCAGCAGCATGAGGAGGCGGTATATAGGGGCCTATGGCAGATTAGGGGCCTGGCAGCAGCTATGGGAGGCCCCGTAATCTGCCAGCACCCTATGTCAAAAAATTCAACACACCAGCAGTGTGTGAGGAGACCTGAAAGTGGCACATGGCAGAGTGTGGCGATGGAGACAGCAGCAATGGGAGGCCGTACAGGGACCCATGAGGAGACTCTGGACCTGGCAGCAGCATGAGGAGGCGGTATATAGGGGCCTATGGCAGATTAGGGGCCTGGCAGCAGCTATATGGGAGGCCCATAATCTGCCAGCACCCTATGTCAAAAAATTCTACACACCAGCAGTGTGTGAGGAGACCTGAAAGTGGCACATGGCAGAGTGTGGCGATGGAGACAGCAGCAATGGGAGGCCGTACAGGGACCCATGAGAGACTCTGGACCTGGCAGCAGCATGAGGAGGCGGTATATAGGGGCCTGGCAGATTAGGGGCCTGGCAGCAGCTATGGGGAGGCCATAATCTGCCAGCACCCTATGTCAAAAAATTCTACACACCAGCAGTGTGAGGAGACCTGAAAGTGGCACATGGCAGAGTGTGGCGATGGACAGCAGCAATGGGAGGCCGTACAGGGACCCATGAGAGACTCTGGACCTGGCAGCAGCATGAGGAGGCGGTATATAGGGGCCTATGGCAGATTAGGGGCCTGGCAGCAGCTATGGGAGGCCCGTAATCTGCCAGCACCCTATGTCAAAAAATTCTACACACCAGCAGTGTGTGAGGAGACCTGAAAGTGGCACATGGCAGAGTGTGGCGATGGAGACAGCAGCAATGGGAGGCCGTACAGGGACCCATGAGAGAGACTCTGGACCTGGCAGCAGCATGAGGAGGCGGTATATAGGGGCCCCATGGCAGATTAGGGGCCTGGCAGCAGCTATGGGAGGCCCGTAATCTGCCAGCACCCTATGTCAAAAAATTCTACACACCAGCAGTGTGTGAGGAGACCTGAAAGTGGCACATGGCAGAGTGTGGCGATGGAGACAGCAGCAATGGGAGGCCGTACAGGGACCATGACAGACTCTGGACCTGGCAGCAGCATGAGGAGGCGGCGGTATATAGGGGCCCTATGGCAGATTAGGGGCCTGGCAGCAGCATGGGAGGCCCGTAATCTGCCAGCACCCTATGTCAAAAAATTCTACACACCAGCAGTGTGAGGAGACCTGAAAGTGGCATGGCAGAGTGTGGCGATGGAGACAGCAGCAATGGGAGGCCGTACAGGGACCCATGAGAGACTCTGGACCTGGCAGCAGCATGAGGAGGCGGTATATAGGGGCCTATGGCAGATTAGGGGCCTGGCAGCAGCTATGGGAGGCCCGTAATCTGCCAGCACCCTATGTCAAAAAATT